TAGTTTTTGGCGAAGGCAGGTCTAGCCGTTCCTAAGATACGGGGCAAAAAGTGACGAAAACGGTAACTCAGTTTTTAAGAGAACGGAGCGTCCGATTCAAATAATTCAAAAAACATTTCACTTGTATTGACAAGATAAATAATCGATAAAATTTTCATAAAGGTAGGTCTAGCGGTTTCGGAGATATGGAGGAAAAAGTAAAAAAATTAGCCATTTGGCGGTCAAAAATGATCATTAGACATATGCACATCAAATTATCAGATATTTTATAGGGATTTTAACAATAAGTATACATTTTTTTAACATTCCTATGGGTTCCGTACCAATGCTTATGCGTTAGACAGCGACGCGGCGCTTACGCGCTTTATATTTTGTCCCTATGCAGTTAAATCAGTACGATTGCTTTGAAAAAAAAGTTCAGATCTTTCACAATATGTCAAAATAAAGAAAAAAAATTTTTTTTTCAAAAAAAAAAAAATTAAAAAAAATTTTTTTTTTTTAAAAAAATTTTTTTTTCAAAAAAAAGTAATTTTTTGTCCATATATATAGTTTCTCAAAAATCTTATTTTTTCAAAGTACATTTTTTTCAAAAATGTTAATCGTTTTTAAAAAATTAATAATTTTTGGTACGGGAAGTTCCAGCAATTTGCCTTAAAGCACGATGCCTTAATTGCCTTAAGACAGAATTCCACTTACAGCTAGTTGAATCATTTGATTCGGATGCTTATTCCCTAGTAGAAATGTATCGTTGCTAGAGGGCTAAAAGATCGTGGCGCAATATTCGAATCTTGTCTGTAGATGGACCGGACACTATTTGTTTTCAAAATTATGGAAAATTTGGAAAATTCATGAGAGCACTGTTTTATATGGTTTATTACAAATAATTTTATATTTACACGAATTATACATAATTTTTAAATGAGGGCGAATTCCAAGTTTTTTGTGGCAGACCAAGATTCGTTTCTTCAGTATTATCGAACTTGGGAAATACATGGTATTTATAAGGGTCACGAAAAAAAATAACTTTAAATAATTAATTAGTACCAAAATCATGATTCAAGCTTTTAAAAAGTCGTATGCTCGATCGCAATTAATAGCTTGATACATTTTTCTTATAAATTCAATATAAATTTTAAATGTGGGGGTTATGCATTTTTTTCTGGGCAACCAAGATTTGATTCTTCAGTATTATTGAACTTGGGAAATATGTAATTAACTTCCCGTAGGGTAGTTATAGTAATGGGTCAAAAATCAAAAATATTTTTTTTTGCATTTCTCGACGTTTTGAAGGTTTCTGAACATTTTGGCATACCTCAGAAGAAATGGATGTGTGTGTGTGTGTGGAAGTGTGTGTTTTGTGCGTCCGCATTTTTTCGTTCACGTTTTCGGGCGCACGGATCAACCGATTTGAATGGTTCAAAAAACAATCGATTCCTATTTATAGAGAGATGTGCTGATTAGTTTTTGGCAAAGGCAGGTACAGCCGTTACGGAGATAATGAGCAAAGAGTGCAGAAAATAGGAATCGAGTTTTTAAGAAAAACTAGTGGGGTGCATGGCATCGTGTCTTGATGCATTCAAATCGGTTGATCCGTGCGCCTGAAAACGTGAACGAAAATATTCGGACACACAATACACACACACACACATCCATGTTTTCTGAGATATGTCAAAATGTTCAGAAAACGTCGAGAAATGCAAAAATTTTTATTTTCGGCCCATTACTATAACTACCCTACGGGGAGTTAATAAGCCTAAAACTAACTTACAATTAGTGCAGAACAACTTATTGAACACACAGAGTTCAGATTGGTGTTCATTAAGAAATTACTAAACAAATGCTTTCAAAAAAGTTTAAATGAGATTATTTTATATACATATATTATTATGAATAAATCAATTTAATTAAATTTTTTAAAACAGCTTTGCGAAATGTAAATACTTACTTAGTTTTTGCAACCCGATTAAATTTCTAAAAATGCATTTATTGTTAGCTTTTACTTTTATATAAAAATATGTATTTACTTATCATCTTTACCTCATCAAATATCTATTTCTCCTATAACAAACTCAAGTACGTCACAAATTTTCAAGTATACAGGGGATTTATTTTGTCGTACGAACCTTAAGCAAATGAGAGCATTTCCAAGAGGGCAAAATCACTTTTCCAGTCGATTGAAAGGCTTTTTTCCAAATTGAGCCATGTTCTAAAAATAGCTCATTGTGGAAGATTCTACAGTGTCTTCTTTTGAAGAGAATCCAAGTTGATCCTTCTGCATTATTGATATCTCTGACCTAATTTGAATCTTAATATAGCACTGTGTAACTAGAATGATGATATGATAATTAATTTACGATATTAATAACTTATGTAAAGTTTTAATTTAAACAAGTATCTAATTAAAATATGATTCTGAAAGCAAATGTCGTTGTGCCAAGTGCAAATCTTGTGATTAGAACTTTTTTTTAATTATGTGAATGGCAATTATTACTTAAGGGTCCTATGAACAGTTGTAACAACTAACTGCGTCGGTTTTATAGGTGTCAACCCTAACAGTTGACCTATCCTTATGTGATGAAAATTGCTGTTATTACAATTTCTGTAATAGTAAAGAATTTATTATTTAGCAATGCCGGTTAAGGGCTCATTTCACTTGGAAATATGCTGCCTACAAATGAAAACTTCTCTCTTTATTGATTGACATCAGGCTTCCCAAAGCGGGTATCGAACCTACGACCTCTGATTGAAATCTCATAGCTGTAATAACTAATCCACGGGGGAGCCTAATGACAGGATCGGAAGTGATTGACGATACTATTATGTAGTATAAATTGAATATTATAAGATATAATATTAGCACAACAACCTGAGTTATATGTAATAGTGAAGAATTTCTTAATGATGCAGCAATGCCGGTTAAAGGCTCATTTCACTTGGATATATGCTGCCTACAAGTGAAAATCTTTGTCTCTATTGATTGACATTATGGTTCCCGAAGCAGGTATCGAACCTACGACCTCTGATTGAAATCCCATAGCTGTAATAACTAATCCACGGGGGAGCCTAATGATAGGATCTGAAGTGATTGACGATACTATTATGTAGTATAAATTGAATATTATAAGATATAATATTAGCACAACAACCTGAATTATTTCTATGTAAATATAGATTGTATATATCAAATTTAATTCAAAACTCATTAAACTGTGTTATACAAAATACAAAGCATACAAAATTTCCTGCCAAACCGAACTACCTGCATGTGTGCTTTACGCAAATATACGGCGCATGGTGAAATGTGTTCTAAAACACTGAATTTCAGTTATAGTATCAACATTCAAACAAACGCAACAATTAAATTTTATTATTTACTTATTACAGACAATCAGAAATACAAGTTCAATGAATCTATGTGATCAATAATTTAGAGGTCTCTTCCACTGAGGAGATGCCCCTGTAGATAATAATCTATGTAATTAAAAAGAAATCAATACTCGAATTTTCTTGTCTTTCGGCCATTTTTTGAGTCTTCTGACTGGAACATGATGATCTGATTAATTGCATTGCTGGATTTAAATGTTGGTTTAATTTAATATGGTATGAGTTGCTCCTGCTCTTTTCACGTTTCGTATATTTAAATCTGTGTAAATAGTATCGTTCGATACATATCAAGGTGAATTAATTATTGCTCTAAGAATTCATTCTGCGTTTTTCAGTATGCCATATGACCATATAGGTATTATTACTGACTTATAGATAATCAATTCATAGTTGTATTGTATTTCAGATTCTTTCTATCACCAATTAAAGTTGTCTAAATTTTTGAATAACTTTTTTTCTATGTATATTCCACGTTAGTTTGTGGTTCAGATATAAACACTTATTCGACGTTTCGACGTTGTTCATTATTACAGGGGGACAGTTTTTCTTTCTTATACTGAATGTGATGTCTTGTTCTATCTGTGTTTATTTTCCACTTCATTAGCCCCTTTTCTAATTCAAATAGATGGTCATGTAAATTTAACGAGGCAATTTACGGATCGGCATCGGCGAATGTGCAGAGGTGGTGGTTAAATTTAGTGGCGTGTCGGTTGTATTTATTGTGAACAGAGTTGGTCCTAGCACGCTTTCTTAAACAAATAAATTCAATAAATAAAATGACGGGTACAAGAAATTAGCTCTAATTTAAACTTTTCACAACTTTGACGCTTTCTTGATTGCCTGTATCACATTTCTTTTTCTGTAGCTCAAAACTATAATTAACTGCTATTATATTTATCGGAAGTACATTTATGTAAATAGACAATAATTATTTGTGTTCCTGAAGTCCAATATGCAGGGCTGGTTCTACCTTGAATACGATGCATACAAAAAATGCGGGGGCACGTCTTAGGGGACGCCAAAAGTTTTTTCAATATCATTTAAAAAATAGATAACTTCTTCGCATCTTTTACTTATCTTAAACATTACATATTGCCAATATGTGTCACATTTATTAAGAATTTTAACAAAATGAGGGCAGAGGCATTGGACTGAAGTGAAGATATAAATTTTATTTTATAATAAAATAAACTTTGTTTTCTAGACATGATTTGATAATTGCTATTATATAATAGACAGCAAGAAATAATTATCATAGTATTTGTTGAAGAAACATGATAAACTTTAATATGATCTAAAATATATGTATAAAATATATATAAAACATATTGATTTTAAATATTTTCAGTATCAGTATCGACAACTTATTTTATATATGTCACGGTTGTAATACATCTCTACTGTAGCATTATTAAATGAACAAATGATTAAGCTCGAATGTATTTTTTGTATTAAGAATTCTAATGAAAAATTATGCTTACAAATACCTCTTTAAAAAAGATTTATATTATATATTTGAAAAAAAAAAAAAATCTAGAAATATAACATTCTATTGTTATCCAGTATATATAGACAATAAAAATAGAAATATAACAATAACAATTTACTTATAACAGGTGCGTGGTTGCCGCATTGGTGCTCGCCCTGCTCTGCGCGTGTTCGCTCTGGCGTAGGCGACGCGCGTTGTGCGGTTGCCGGGACTGGCACGGCGGTGGCCTTGGCGGCGGTGATGAGCGCTCGGAGCCGGACTCCGTCGGCTCGTGCTATCCTCCGCCGCAGTATTCGAGATGCGGCAGTTTCAGGCGCGCTCCACCACCTTACACAGAGGTAAGATATAACTAGTGGTGCATGGCATCGTGCCTTAAGGCAAGTTGATGGAAACTTTCCGTACCAACAATTATTTTCTTTAAAAAAGTAATTAAATTATTTGAAAATTTTGAAAAAATTACATATTTGAAATTGTGAAATTTATGATAAAAAATTATTTTTGAAAATTTTGAATTTAATTATATTAAATTTAGTTTTTTATATCTATTCAATTTTTTTGAAAATTCTGAACTTTTTTGCTGCTTAACTGTTTTATAGACGAAATATCGAAGCGCTTAAGTGCCGCGTCGCAGTTTTTGGTTTGACATTGGTATGGAACCCATAGAAATGTAAACAAAATTTGTACATATTATTAAAATCTCGATAAAATATCTGATAATTTGATGTGCATATGTCTAATGACAGTTTTTGACTGCCAAATGTCATTTTTTTACTTTTTGGATCTTCGAAGCCGCTAGACTTGCATTCCCAGTAATTTAATCATTTCTTCATCATGCAAGTAACATGTTTTTTGATTGCAATTGGAAGCTCCGTTCTCTCAAAAACTGAATTACAATTTTTGGCTCTTTTTGCCTTGCATGTTCGAAACCTGCCAAAAACTAATGAGCACGTTTCCTTATCAATAGGAATGGAATGTTTTTTGAATTATTCAAATCGGTTAATGCGTGTCATCAAAATCGTCAACAAAAAATTGTATGCGCACATACATACATACATACATGTGCAGAAGGTTTTGATACGTGAAGATATAAAGAAATATTTTCGATTTTTTTGCGATTACTATAACTTTCCCTACGGGAAGTTGTATCCGCACATACATGCATACATACATGTGCAGAAGGTTTTAAAACGTGAAGATATATAAAAGAAATATTTTCGATTTTTTTGCGATTATTATAACTTACCCTACGGAAAGTTGAAAATGGTTCAACGGTACTACGTCAATTTAGTTTACCAAAAGTTACTTATTAATTTTAATCTTAGGATTTCTAATATTATCTATCGAAGTATATTTTTAGCATTCAATTAGAACATATGTTAACACCCGTGCTTATTTTAATCTGCATTTACAATAATTGCTGTTTCTGCGATGATTTGACACTTTTTATGACTTGATTATCACTTACATAACTCGGATATCATAAACATACTACTATTACTAATGACTGAAAATAATTAACAAAATTTAAAAAATATAGATCAAATAATAATAAAAAATCGACTAAAATATCTATTAAGTTGCAATAAAAGTATTTTATTCTATATATTTATTCGCCAAACTTTATTTAAAAATACTTCTAATATTTTTAATTATTATATAGCGGGGCACATAGGTCCAATTTGACTTTGAGCAATTATATTGTCCAATTATATCACAACAAATGAGATATATCAAACAAACAACTATCTCACTATGTTCAGTAAACTCCCAGCTAATTCGGCATTGTAGAAACGGGTGTTTTGCTGCTTTGAAAAAAGTTGTCACCTAGTCCTTTTTACCCCATAGGCAAGGTAAAATGGGATAGCCTGGAGGCAAATAGGTCCAACGTATCATTTTTAACTTTAAAGAGATTTTTCGAAAAAACAGCTATATTATTCATCCAATACAAAATATAATTTTCTGTTTTTTTTCATACAAACATTCCAAAAATTTTTTACAGAGAATACTGTATATCAGTAAAGCTGATATAACTATTTGTTTAATTTACCTCTTGTAAAATTCTATTTTTGAACCTGATTTATTTTTTTATATACTATTTTTTATTGTTTACACCTTTGCCAGGGTAAAGACTCAGATGGTCATTTTTATTGCACCCAAATGTAAACTTTTAGAAAGGTTATGAAAAAACTATTGGATCTAATTTGAAAATAACAATACATCTTATAAAACATTTAAATAATGAAGACTTAAAATTATATTAACATCTCGTAAACTAAACAACAGTGCTCACAACCAGAAAAAACTAACAACGAATGAAAATACTTTTGTTCCTGATTTTCAATCATTGCCGTATATCTCCCGATAGCGATGTCGTCAAAAACTATGTGATAGTTGGTTACACATCTTTTTCCCTCTACTTTCAAATTAATGTTTGACGTACCGGTGGTGGATCTTTTCACCCGCGAATATTTAAGCCCCGTTTACTCTACCATAGTTACCAATGTTAAAAATTATATATTATTAATATATTTATGTAAATAATTATAGAACGTTGAATTATAAATCAACTCTTATTTGTTCGTACATTTCAAATTCCATAATATATTTTATTGAGAAACTAATTTTGCCTAATCGGCCTTGACAATTCCGATAAAAATAGCATCGTTTAAATCGATTCACTGCTTTAAATAATTCAACGTCTCTCAGTTTTGAATTTTGCTAATAACATTATTAGCTTTTAAATAATAATTCAGAAGTTTATGACCTAATATAAAGTATAATAGAACTTAAGATATATTTTTGACAATATATAGATATTTGAAAACTTATAGATACTTAATTTAATATTACGTATACTTCAGAAATTATATTTTTTCAAATTTATATGCAAAAGACACTAATTAATGCACCTTCAGGCGCTACATTGAGAAATTAGGTGATTTATCGTAAATGTGTGAAATTCATAAAAATAATTGACTCTATATAACCCTTAATAATTTACTAATTACTGCATCTAGATAATACGTAGATGTAATTAAATACAAGGTTTGACAAGCACATTTTTTGTAAATTTCAAAACCGTGTTTACCTGTATCTCACGCTCCTTAATTTATTAATAACTTAATTCATTTAATATATAATGTTAATGTAATCAAACATAAATTATAATCTGATACTGAAATTCTAATAGTATTTGTGATATATGATATGCTATACAAGCATAATGAATGGTTTGTAGCCACAGCTAATTATTTCTTCGTTAGTTAATTTAATTAATAGTGATTTTGCATTTAATCCGTTTCCAATCATTTCATATCAGCAAAGGGATGGTTAATTAAGCACAATGTGCTATTGATTTACCGATAGTGGTTAATAATAAAACAATGGTCAGATTTGACCCAAATCGATCGTATTCCGTTCACAAAACATGAGTTAGTAATTTACCTATCATTGGGGTATTTTGGGTATCAGTCATACTTGATCATCAGTCATTATCGTTTGGGTAAATAGTTTATTACGGCCTAATGTGATCTGCAGGTACGCTTCAAAATGTAATTTAATTAAACATTAAACAATTAAATAGAACTGAATATTTTATGTCAATGTATATATGTATGTATTTATGTATTAGTATAAAGTATGTGCATTATAACACCAGGTGTGCTAAATTATTATTTTGAATCGTTATACTTTATTTACCTATACGTTACATATGTTTACGTTACATATAAATAAAGTAGGGAAAGTAAAAAGATAAAATGATTGGTGGTTTACTAGTCAATGATATATAATCAATATATATTAATTTATTTATTTTTTAATTGAAACAATCTGTTTTACTCACTTCAGATTAATTAACTACCCTCAACATAGGCTTTATATTTAGTAGGAACTATAATAACATATTTATTAAAAAAAATGCAACCCATTACAAAAACCATTTTGTGCTTATAGTATGGATAAAACGACATATGATAGAGAGATATATTCTGATTCAAATAAGGATATTCTGAGATACTAATGTTTAAGAAATCAGTTCAAAAATAAATAGTTTAGTGCTTTTTGTGACATCAGCACATGATGCATGAACCCAAAAAGGAACAAATCATTTATCGGACAATGTCGTCGGGATCGAAATGGGAAAACAGAGTATTGCACTTTGGGTTTAATAATTTTAATAGGCTTCAAACAGCATTAGACAAAAATAAACTTTTGAGGGAGTAATACTTAATTTGATTACTGCGACAAGATTGTGACAATGACGCGCTTCTCATAAAAAATGATACTAAATACTGTCAAAATGCCACGTTTGACATTTGGTTTTTTTTCGATTAGGTTTTAAATAAAAAACGCCTGATTGCACAGCAACCGTTTTTAGTACCACTTTATATGAAAACTGCTTCGTAACATAACCTTGCCATAACATTGGTCTATTTTACGGCAGAATCGGCCCATAAGATTCAATGTTTTTAAAATCACGATCTTTTTTTATTCTCAATGTTATTGCAATCCCCCGTGTTTGTATAACAATAATAAATCAGAACTAAAATCATCAATATATTCTAAATGAGTGTTTAGTATCAATATTTGCAATATGAGGTACTGCTTACCTTCAGTTCCGTATTACGACATTGGCCGCAACCAACCCTTTTATTATACGGTTGCATAATGATGAGGAAACAAATTCTATTTTCGTCTATAACTTAGCCGCGAAAGTTTACATGGGAAACACAGTTGCATGTGTGCATTGCAAAGTAGTTTATAGCCTCGGCAATGAAATGCTGTCGGCGCAGGTAATAATTATTCAAACTTTATTAACATATAAACTATAATTATAAATAATCATATTCATCTCCAAATGCCTTTGTTAAAAATACTCTTATGTTGTTTATAGCAATAATTTTCATAATTGAAAAAGCCACAGGTACCGTGGTAAAACGTAAGTTATTAACTAGTGGTATATGGCATCTTGCCTTGAAGCAAATTGCTGGAACTTCTCGTACCGAAACGAAATATTCAAGTAATGTTAAATGTTATCAAATAGATTATTATAAGTACTGTAATATTGTCGAATATTTATAAGAATTATATATACTGAATTGCAAACAATTTGACTTTGAGCAATTATATTATGAAAACCAAATCAATTATATCACAACAAATAACACATATCAAACAAACAACTATCTGACTATGTTCGGTAAAGTTCCGTGCTGTCATCATTATAATCGTTTTCGGGCCTTTTTATCTCGTAGGCGGGGACGGCCAGTTGCCAAACAGGTTCAATGTCTTATTTTAATTTTAAAATGACTTTCTAAAATAATAGATTCTTTATAACACCAACACAATATATAAATTTCATAAGTGCATTTTTTACAGAGATAACCCTGTAGACAACTTTGATCTGCTTTTTTGTCAGAAATATTTATCAGCAGAGTTAGAATAGCTATTTATTTAATTTTTCTCTTGTAAAATAGTTTTTTTTAACTTAATTTATTAGTTTATTTACAATATTTTATTGTTCACAACTTTGCCAGGGTAAAGATTCAGTTGGTCCATTTTACCCCACCCAGATGTAAGCTTTTATAAAAGTTATATAAAAGAAACTGTTGAATCTAACTTGAAAATAACAATATCTCTTATAAAACAATTAAATAATATATATATACGATTCGTAAACTAAATAACAATGCACACAACCAAAAAAAAAAACTGACAACAAAAGAAAATATTTTTGTTCTGTTCAAATTTCTAAAACCGCTCCACCTGTTTTCTCTATGTTTCCCTTGTTCGTTTCATCAATACAAGTAAAATGTTCATTGAATTATTCAAATCGGATGCTCCGCTCTCTCAAAAACTGAATTACCATCTTTGGCACTTCTTGTCCCTTATCTTTAAAACAGCTGGATCTGCTTCGGTCAAAAACTAATTAAGTAATCGAATGTTTTTTAAATCATTCAAATCGGTTGATCCGTGATCTTGAAATCGTCGACAAAAAATTGTATCCGCACACGCATACATACTTACACAATATGTTTGTTTTAAGTATGTTAAAATATTCAGAAGACTTTGAAACGCAGATATATAAAGAATTTTATTTGCGATTTTTTTGCGATTACTATAACTTAACGTGAAGTTAAAATGTTAACTGTTGATATATTATCTATCATATTCGTTATTATCACATTAACACTTTAGTACTTTGCTCTACTATTTATTCGATTTTCACTTCAATTATATATAATGATACAACGATACAAGTTGCGGATCGATATCATATTTTTCTTGCGTGCACGTAATCTAATGTTTTATGATTAGTTTGATATGTGGGTTAAGGTTACATTGCGAGGGACGCATTATGAAAAATGCATTTTCGTATGTCGCAGAACTGAATGAAATGTTTTCTTTTCTTCTACAGGTGACCTCGAAACCGGACTTATATCCCTTGGTGTTCAGCTATACCGGCGAGGCTGGCGGCAAAGGGGGCGCGGCGAGCTACCTCATGGTACAATATTTCCGGAATTACATCGTGAGGCCCGCAGGTATTCAGATATACAAATAGACTAAATTGAATTAAAGATGTAGCGACCTGTAAATGCAAAGCTTTGATACTGCTTGTTCTTTTCGTAACAAGTTTCTATGTTTATTAGTAACGAATTTTATAACATATTTGATTCAGGACAAAACATTTTTAACATCCTATAAATGGAGATTAATGTTTGAGAAGTTTATGATTTTGCCAAAAAATCCGAATTTCTAATATTATGCTTTCTTCCTGTTTCAAGTCACTGTGAATCTATATTCAGTCTAAAATTGGAAAACGTGTACGTGCGTGTGTATGCGATCCAAAATATAAACTTTCGTCGACATTTTTTCAAAATGGCTGAACTGGAAAAACACTTGCGTTGATTAGTTCTGAGGGACGATCGGTTGAGCCATTCGTCGAATTCGGTTGACAATTAGCAGAAAGATGCTGATCTTGAACAGACTTTGAAAATTTACTCTATTTATCTGTCGAAAAATAATTATGTAATGCTGATTACATTTAATTAATGTAATCGCTGATTACATTTTGATAAAAATTATTTGGGCCAATCCGTTCGGTTTGTTCGTAATTAAATATTAAAAAAGATTTTTAGCGTTTTTTTGCAACTTAGCATGGCACAAACCCCCGCACACAAAATGTGGGTAAATTATAAAAAAAAATCAATGAGGTTTGGATTAATGAAATGCGCTTTTAAAACAAACACAAGGCGTGTTTGTGCACTATGATTAATACAATTACAGATATTATAATTTTTTTGAAAGATATTAATTTGAAACTGCATTGATTAATTATTAGTAAAATCAAAAACTTTATTTTCAAAATAACCTGTTAAAAATTTTCTCTAATAATAAGTAGACAAATTTCAAATATTTTTGTTAAGTCCTAAATTATATATATACTTAAGTATCGCGATGTGCATGAAATTTGTCACAAGGCAAAATGTCACTTAAACCTAGTTTGAATAATATTTCTAATTATGATACGAAAATACGTAAAATCATGTTGTTTTAAATTAATATCATTAGCGTTTACCTGTAATTAATTTCAAAATATTTAGATAATAATAAAAAATAATTGTTAGGAAAAAATTGGCAATGTAGTACATTTATCTTTATTCGTCTGGTATTGTAATTTTTGAATAAAAAACACAGTTTTACTTGAACTTTAAAATTTATTGAATTTGGACTACAAGGTGTTGGAAACCAGAAGGTATTTAGCTCCTTAACTTAAAATGACGAGCAGAGCCCGCGAAAGATTGCTAGGTCAAAAGTGAATTTTACTTTTATTTTTATTAATGGTAATGGCCCGCGTACGACATTCGGGCCAGAAGCAAATATTACGCATTTCAGGCATGGCCCGGTATGGTGAACGCAAGTATTATAAAATAATTATCCATACGAAACTATAAAACACAATATTATTTTTATTTTTGTGATAAAGCGTACACTATGAGGGAAAATAGTCACAACGCCGCGCCAGCTTGAACAACTTTGCGCCGACATTTTCGAATCTAAATTGTAAGTTAAGGGGTTAAAAAGAACGTTTGTACCGCGACGGACCGTAAAAGACTAACATATTTTCTAATTATTAAAATTATTTCCTTTGACAACGTAGTGGGGTTTCTCGAATATTCGAAGTATTAACGAAAAGACGAAATGATTAATTTTTGTTAACAAAGCGGAATGTTACTAATATGAAATTGGTGAGATTCGTTGATGCAGGTTACAGGTACTCCGTGATAGAATGCTTAACTCAGCTACAACGATAGTATGAGAAAAATCAATATGAAGCGTTGATTTTGGCTAAAACTTGAAGATACTAAGATTTTACTCTGAACTTTTTAGAAATGTAATATAAAATCAGTGCTCAGCAAAAGGGGCCTACGATATAGTATATAAATAACACTAAATAAATATCTTTTTTTATACTTTTGAAAAATTCTGAAATAATTTTGATCATATCTTATAATTTTCATCTTTGAACGTGAGGAAAACCAATATTAAACATGTTTCAATATTAAATAGATTTTATGTATGGCTTTGAAAATTAAAGTGAGTCGTCTACAAAGTATAATAGGTTTATAGGGTTATAATTAATTATTTTATGTTTTATGCTACATATTCATATTGATGCTTCTGAAGTAAATTATATTTTCAAGAATGTTATAAAAATATTTTTTTAAATCGGTTAATACTAATCAGCAAAAAGTTATAACAAGATATATTATATTAATAATTATTCCGCAAAATTTAATATTTTACTTACGTCTTCATTCATAAAACTAGTAATTTATATTTAATCAATTAGTATTTGGAAATTGCTAATATTATTGTTTATTAATATTGTTGAATTATCATTAATGCTATTTTATTTGACTAATGATTATTTCATAACTGTAAAATTATTAACATATTCACTTTGCCCTCAAGGATCTCTCTCAGCGACAAGCACCGTAGATTCGTTGAGTTCGAGTCTTTTATGCAATGCAAATAATGAAGCTAATACGCTGATTCCTCCGCCTTATTCGAGGGCTACCAGTCCGGCCGGAATGACCGGAATAAGCAGTCGCGCGACGACGCGCAGCGTAACGCCCGCGCTGTTGCCGCGGTCGGCCAGCACGGCTTTGGTAGCACGCGGCGACCACAATCGCGTGCCTGCGACCATACGCACTTCTGGCAGCGCTAACTTCCGCCTGCCGACGATGGGAAATTGCAGGTAATTCATTGCATGTTATTACTCGGTAATTAATTAGTGCGTAATGGAATAACCATATTGGTAGTTTAGAGTTATTGTCTTAATACTTTTAATTGTTTCGTCAATAATCGATTTATATTTATTTGATTATACTGGCGTAACTGGCATTGTTACTGAATAATATAAAATTAGTCGTAAGTTGTCATTAAGTAAGTCTTAATTAGACTTTTTTAATGTGCTTTCAAACACTAATAATACGGCGTGATAAAAATGGCATTTTTGTTTATTTCATCGGACTTTTCTTTAAACCTACTTATAAATGTACGATGATTTCAAAAGTACTTTCCGTTTTTCTGTACCAGCTCCTCTTCTTTAGTTCTAAGGAACGACACCCATTAGTCATTTTGGCTAGGATTATCACAGTTTGACGTATAACTAAGAGTTTTGACTGCTGTTTTTGGTATGACTCCAACTCTAATATATTATGCGCATAGTTCAGATAGTTATTAATACATCTATGGTGAATATGTTTTCGACCAATACCGAAAACCTATATCAAACTGCGCAAAAACAGCTTATTTCAACCACTTTAAAATTAAATTGCGCAACAAAGATAAATAAGTTGTTTACTTTAATATCCCTAAGAAAAAAGAAATGCTATAATTTTAATACCGCGCTAATTTAGAAAAAAAATCTCAGTATCAGCACGACGACTATTTTATCTCTGTGGTAAATAACAATGGAACAAATTTAGGCAACAAAAGCAAATGTTTATACACCATGACCCCAATGGTCTGGAGTCTACTCACGATTCGCAACTTACGACATCTATCTATGCTAATCATGATCAACCTAAAACATCAAAATCTTCTGTCTATCATGTAATGGTTCGAAAGACCAACGGTAAAAGAGAAGACAGAAAGTGTTAAAAACTGATATATTCGATGATTGCCAAATTAAGCAGTAAAATCGAGAAGAAATCTAGGGAATCAGGCGAGCGAATCCACCATTGGAGTAGCGATATCAAAAGGGGTGGGACGTCCACATGGTGGCTGATAAATCTTGGAACTTACGACGAAATCAGTGAGATCTTGTCCAGGGTCGAAAATTATATAAAAAACTTTTGAAGGCGTAGAATAAAATATGTGTTAATTTTCATTGTAATTTTAAGTAAACTTAGCACATCTCAAAAAACTAGAGCTGTTCGCTAAGTTCTTCAACATTTTTTGGAATCCCCATGCTCGAGTTACATAAAAACTCTCATAACATCCCAGGAAACAATTTACTGTCACGCAATGTATGTATTATTAACTTTTTGTTAATATAGAAGTTATAATTGCGGGTTTATATTAAGTATTAAATGTAATATCAACACATGTTAAAGCACACACACACATATATATATATAAATATATATATATATATATATATATATATAATAATATAATAATATAATATAATATATATATATAATATATATATAATATATATATATATAATATATATATATATATATATATATATATATATATATATATACGAGTCGGTAGTAAGAAAAACCATAAATATTAAAGAACATTCATTTTGTGTATTTTTAACGCTAAGAATGTCATCAAGTAGTCGCAGTTCAGATATAATAATAATAATGCAAAATTTAGGAATCACTCATAATTTTCTTCTCTACATAAAAATATCAGTCAGTTAATTATATTTAATATTATACCCTCAAACATAATTTTTAATAGTTTTAAATTACCAATATGACAAATATTATTACTATATAAATACATATACTTAAATCGTACCCTAATGTCACAACAATTAAATTCATTACGATCCATTTTACGAGTTTTTGATTCTGTCGTTTCTGATTCTAAAAGTTTCTTGTAAATATATGTTTACTTTTTTTAAAGCGTGATTTCATCGTATTCAGATATACGAGTTTTTATTTTTCACATGTCTCATTCAAAAAAGAGAACGAATGTATACTCTATTATGATCATTAATAATAATACGAGAACTTTACTGATAATATATAATACTGCAGTTATAACAATACAAATGCTAATTGTCGGCGATATCCATAACAATTAAAATGATATATCGCTTATTATAAAAATAATCAATTACATAAAACTATAATTAATACATCCGTTTCAAAATTTTAAGTCATTATTGCAATAATACATTAACTCGTTGTGACAATGCAAATATATTTATGATTTAGCACATTATCAATTTATTATTGCATTATTGTCATAATCGTCACATCAATTTCAATTTGTATTTATAATTGTATTAAGCACGATTATTTATTCGATAATCGAGATTATTCATTCATTACAATTATGAGTGAGTTAATTGACTATTTATGGCTAGAATAGTTTAATTCAACTCGGTAAATCGTGAATAGAATTTGTTTAAATCAAATTAATTAGTATAATGCAACGTGAACAACAAATGCTATTTAAGGATATAATAAAAAACAGTTTTTTATATAAATCAATTTTTTTTATTCAGAAAGCGGTCTTTTAGTAAGAACTTTATTATTCTATTATATGTAATACTTTTTATCTAGGATATTATATTATATTTTATATTTTTCTATCTGCAGTGATACTACGCTACTTCGCGTACTTCGTTCCGCGTGAAAGTTTGTTATATGAAAAGTTAGCTATGCAAAACGCTGCTTTTCTATACATATATATAACAATAAAATTAATTTGTTCTGTAATTAGAAATATGGCCATAGAATATAAGATATATTTTACATATTATCAAGACATTAAAAAAATATTACTAATTTTTGAAATAAGTTATTATCAGATTTACACTGCTTCCATTTTAGACTTTTTAGCTCCTGAACTTTTAAAGAAACTGTCGATAATTGTTTCTTTTATTCTCTTCTTTAAACCTACCCCAAATGAAAAGTCATCATTGTACTAATTTCTGATTTTCTTAGCATCAGTAAACATTTACTAATTCTTGCACTTCTTTCTATTTGACCAGAAAGTCCTTTATTGACTAGAAATCTGCTGACTGATCTTTTCTTCTTCGGTTTATGATCATGCACTTCTAAAACTTTCTCAAGAATGAGAAGTTTGAATGTGAATTACCCAATCCAATAAGTTTATTTTCACAGCGGGGCAAAAATTTACAAGGTCCACTCTTTCAATTAATTTGAGCAATATATTTGACCACAACTGACAACGGTTTAGTACGTTGTGTAAAGCAAAGTTCGTTGTGTAAAATGTTCGTGCCCGAAAAAAAAGCTCGTTATGCGCAGCGTCCATCGTGCGTGGCGTATGTTGTGCGGAGTATCACTTTATATATTTTTTTCGCTTTTGAGTCTTGCATTAAATTCTATTTAAATTTTTTCAGAATTTGATAAAAATGCGACTTGTTCGTTTGTTTCCATAACATTTGTTAATTTACCAATTGATTTTTAAAAAACCGGGACAATCCGGGACAAAAGATATGAATCCTGGACAAATATTGCTTTTAGAGAAACCCGAGGCACAAGTTGAAAATCCGGAATCACCATCCGTTGGGTATGGTCACCTTATTTTTAATGTGAATGGATTGGTTAAAACAAATTCCTACAGAAGTACAAAAAACAGCGTATAAAACGTAATCAACTCTTTGAATACAAAACAATGCATTGCCTATGTCATTCATCATTTCAGAACATTTTAAACTTGACAAATATGAATACGGTAGCTATATGTAATGAGATATATATAATGGCATATCATTGTTTTATATGTAGAACATTTCAATTAGTTTGATGTCGTTACATCACTTAAAAATTACAATGTTTTCTAGATCCGACTACAGCCTGACTGACAACGTAAGCACTAATGCGGATTACGCAAGCAGTAACCGCGCGATGTACGATGACAGTCGAGATTCAGTAAATTCGCTCAGCCGAAGCGAACGGAGTGTAATAGCGGCAAGTCTGGACGAAGAGGCCGACGAATTGCGCCGCAGTTTGGATGCATGCTGCAAAATACTACAGCGGCAGCAGCAACATCAGGCCATAACAGCACCTGCTCCGAGCAGAGCTGACTCGCAGGTACCGAAGAAAGGCTGCGTTTTACGAGTTTGACAGTAATTGCATGTTACTTGTTTTGGTTATTGAAAAGAATATTGGAAATGTTTAAAAATAAGGTAAAGTGATGAATTAACTTTGCATACAGCATTAGTAATTATTTTGCAGATATATTAACCTTAATGATTTTTCGGGTACATATTTATTGTCAAATTATTTTTTTTATATACGCGTATATTTGAAAACAAAACTGCGCATAAATCCGCTGAACGTGATCTAATTTTATTGTAAATATTGTTAATTACTAGAGCTCTGACACAGCTGACCATAATTTTCGCAATAATAGTTAATTAAATTTAAGCGTATTTTTATGACGCGCCATGACGTCTGTTCAGTTCGAGTAACGTATTAATTTCGAATAACATATTTATTTCTGATGTTAATACTTCAGCTTCAGTTGAAATTGTTTCAAATATTTTATTTAACATTTAAAAGCAAGTTGAGTATAATATTGAAAATTAAAAAGTTACAGATTTGCCTTCACATTCAATTTTTTATAAATAATAATTATTGTATAAATGAAGTATACTTTAAAATCACATTATTTGTATTATTTTTTATTATAATTTATAATTTGTATTATTTTCTGAAAGTTTATTGCAATATAATACATTTTATGGCACAATTTCAATGCCTTAAAAATTTCTTTTTAAATTTTTTTGTCATTATTTATCATAACCAATCTGATTCTTTGGTTTAATGAGGTTATTTGCTGTTGGGTGCATGATATTTAAAAATTCTTTCATATATTGCTTGTCAATTTATTAACTTCCTGAAGGAGAAGTTTATGTTTTCATCAAAAAATCCGATTCGCTAATTTTATGTTTTCTCGACGTTTCAAGCGATTCTGAATCGAATGAGACCAAATTTGAAAAAAGTATGTGTGTGTATGTATGTGTGTGTGTGTCTGTGAACAGATTTTTTGCCGTAAATCGACGTTTTCTCAAAAATGGCTGGACCAATTTTGAAAATTTAAAAGCCATTCGATGTATCTCGATGAGGACTAGCGTTTATCAATTTTGCGCGACAAACAGCCAAGCCGTTTCTTTGTGAATAGCAGAAAAGTGAAAAAATTTTCGTCCACGTTTTAGCTCGCAGTTCTGAATCAATCTTGAAAATTCAAAAACTGTTCGAATGATATTGATTGGGAATCGTGCTGATGAGTTGTTGGTAGAGATCGGCCCGGCCGTTTTCTTGTAATAAAGTGTTAAAAAAATTTTTTCGACGATTATTATTATTATTTTTTTAACGGTAGATACCATAGTCTTCTAGATCATACTAAAATATTACGGCTCTATGACAATTGGTTTAATTTTGAAAATTCGTCAAAGTTTGCAAAAATTGGTATCGTTTTTTTGGCATTTGTCAAAATTAGACCTTTTATCGACGTCTTCTCAAAAATGCCTAAACCGATTTCTGAAATTTAAAAGCCATTTGATGTATCTCAATGAGGACTATCGTTTGTCAGTTTTGTGCGACGATCTGCAAAGCCGTTTCTTTGTAATTTGAAAAAAATTGTTTAACTTTTCGTCCACATTTAAGCTCATACCACCGAATCGATTTTAAAAATCAAAAACTATTAGTTGGGAATGATACTGATTAGTTTTAGGTAAAAATCTACCGAGCCGTTTTCTTGTAATTTGTTGTTGAAAAAAAAATTGAGCCGATTTTTATGAAACTTTTTTTGATGTATATATCATGATCTTATACAACTTATTGAAATATTACGACCTTATGACAACTAGTTTAATTTTAAAAATTTATCAAAGTTTAAGAAAATGAGTAGTTTTTTTGACGTTTGTTAAAATTAAAATTGGACGATTTAACTTGGTATAACAATAGAGTACTTGGTTTTAATGAACATATCAAGCCATTAAAGTCCTATGGAAACTGGTTCAATTATAACAATTGTTGATTTCTTAATATGTATTTACTTTTCGAAAATACTCCGTGTCAAAGTGTTCGCTCGTATATTCACAACTACACATATCGGGAAGTTCATGTAACTTGCCTCAAGGCAAAATACCAAATCAACTAGTTAGACCTTGCGGCAACTTTCTTTACAGTCTTCCGATGGGAAATTGTTTTTGCAGATATTTTATTAGTGTGTTAGAATGGTATTATCTCTTTTAATGTTATTTCATGCCTCTCTCCTGCGCATATTTGATGTTTAGATTTAGATCTCGTTGAATTGTGACGTTGGAGACATACGAGGGCGCGTTTAATATGGCTTGTACTGATTTTGACTGTGCTCTTTGGATGGTTTTTAAGCTTAATAATATTGGGTCCAAAAATATGTCATTTATCTATATTATCTATATTTAAATTAAAGTATAAACTGATAATAAATTTAAATTCAAATAAAAAATCTAAATCCTCATATACTTATTATTCAAAGGATACGCAACGATCTTATGGAAGTGCTGCGAATAGCTTCACATCCGAAGTTAGTAGTCTGCTACAATCGAGTGGTATGCAGGATTCACCTCCACGGGCTACCAGTCCAACAATGGAAGTCCGCGATCTTCTGGACAAAATAAAACGTCTGCAGGAGGACGCACTGACCTCCGCAAGTAGTTCGGGAGCAGGATCTTCCGCAGTGACAGCTTCACAACCGTTACAAAGGCCTAGCACATTTGCCCAATTGAGACGGAAGCGTTGCTTTGACAAAAGTGCAAAAGCATTGTATGCACCTTTACATACAGCAGCCACGCCAGGTTGCGTGAGATCAACAGGTGAGGGTAGATTAATTATGATTAAAATTCAAACTAGTGGTGCAAGGTTTCGTGCCCTTAGACAAATTGCTGGAATATCCCGTACCATAATTTGAATTTTTTAAAACTTTACAATTTTTGAAAAATTTTGAGAATTTTGATTTTTGAAAATTTTAGAATTGTTGAGAAATTGGATTTTTTGGCAAGTAATTGCAAAAAAAATCGAAAATGAAAATTTTTATATATCTTTATGTTTCAAAGCCTTCTGAACATTTTGGCATACCTTAGAAAAAATAGATGTATGTGTGTGTGTGCGTGTTTGTGTGTGTGGATACAAATTTTCGTCGACGATTTCGGGAACACTGATCAACTGATTTAAATACATAATTCAAAAAACATTTGATTTATATTGATAAGGAGACGTGCTAATTAGTTTTTGGCGAAGGCAAGTCTAGCCGTTCCGAAGATACGGGGCAAAAAGTGCCAAAAACGGTAACTCAGTTTTTAAGAGAACGGAGCGTCCGATTTTAATAATTCAAAAAACATTTTACTTGTATTGACAAGGTGAAGAACCGATCAAATTTTCATAAAGGCAAGTCGAGCGGTTTCGGAGATCTAATAAAAAAAGTAAAAAAAATGCCATTTGGCGGTCAAAAATGATCATTAGACATATGCACATAAAATTATCAGATATTTTATAGAGATTTTAATAATAAGTATAAATTTTGTTTGCATTCCTATGGGTTCCGTACCAATATTTATTCGTTAGACGGCGACGCGGCGCTTACGCGCTTTGACATTTTGTCTCTAAGCAGGTAAAGCAGTACGATTGCTTTGAAAAAAAGTTCAGAATTTCCAAAATATGTCAAAATAAAAAAAACTTTAAAAAAAAGTAATTTTTTGTCAAATTCCTAGTTTCTCAAAAATCTATTTTTTTCGAAGTAAAGTTTTTTCAAAAATGTTAATCGTTTTTAAAAAAATAATAATATTTGGTACGGGAAGTTCCAGCAATTTGCCTTAAGGCTCGATTCCCTAATTGCCTTAAGACAGAATTCCACTCACAGCTAGTTTTATTTTCAACCCGTATACTTACTTATACAAAACTAGTAAAGAATACATCATTAATTAGTATATACTGTATATTGTGTTACATTAGATCTGCTTAAAGTTAGTTTATTAATACATGTTTTTTATTTCCGTAGGCCGTCCCGGTTGGCTGTCCCGATCAGCCCCAGCGACTCCTGGAACGATCGCCGACGCCAGCCCCCTGCTCGCCGAGCCACGGGACGATGGAGAAATGTTGTAGATAAATGAATTGAAATGATATATTGAGATCAGCTCACAAAGCGTGATTATTTTTATAGTGCGATATATAGGCTTAAATAGCAACGTGCCACGGACGAGGTGCCAATTGATTCATTTGCAAACCAAAAGAAAATTAACGGTAGCAAGTATGGTTTCTTTAATTCAAATATTTTACGCGAAATCCAGAACTTATAGAAAGAAACTATATTGCTTATATCTAGTGTAGATATATAACTTATATTATGGTCGTTTGCATTCAAACTAAAATGTGAACCAAACGTGATAAATTTTAGAAACGAAAGATAATATTATTTATTATAATATAGTAATGCGGGCAATAATGACTACTGAAACGTAATCGAATTAATAATGGTCTAATATATTGAATAGAATATTCGGGATGTATAAGTAAGTATTTATGATATAATCACAGGTGGCCAATTATGTACCTTTCAAGATTATTTTGATGTTACAAATAGAATTATTTACACATTCAAAGTTTACTAGTCTATTTCCATATATGTTATGTTTGAAATGTAAATACGAGAGAGTTAATTTACTACATTCTGCTTCAAAAATTGGTATAAAAACGCTCACACTATAACAGAATCGCAAAGAGTATTTTCTTATTTATACATTTAAGTTGTACTAAATAAAATAAGATTTATATAATAGCACTTTTTATATATAAGTGATAAAAGTATGGTTGATAAATCATATTTCTAACAATAAAGAGCTAATTCCTCAAATTAGTGTATATTTGTAAAAATGAAGACTATATAAGTAACCCTAACACAAGTTCCAGATTATGTTTTTTGTGACGAAATAAACATCAAATGGGTATATAGTTCAAATTTATACAATATTTTATACATTATAGGTATATTACTAAAAAAGCATTTGAAATGTATTGTTTGGTGCATGACAATATTATATTCTGAATGAAGGTTCTAATCACAACGGCCATAAATTAATGAAATTAAACTATGCTGAAGATATTCGACAACTGATTTTTACATTGTGATTTTCTAAAACAAGACCTAACCTATTTAAATTTTTAACAAATTATATTTTAGTGTTTATGAATAAATTATATCATTATATAATTTTTAATTTATTAAGTTCGTAAAAGCAATGAAACTAAAAAGCAATATTTTATTATAAAATAATTCATAATTCTATTTTCTTACACTCAAATAAATATTTATGAACTATTTTTTAAATTATTCTCATTTTTAATGGCCTACTGAAAATTTTAAAATACTCTAATGTTTATTTCGTCTATCAACTTTTTGACTACACGCTGTAATTATAGTTTCAATATTAGAAGATGCAATAAGATTGCGGCTCAAATAGTAAAATTGATCTTATTCATTATTTGACAAAATTATTTCTGTTAACTCATGTTTGAAACAGTTCTATTGAATGTATTTCTAAACTGGAATATTGAAATGTGTCTTATAAAATTTGATTTAAATTGACTTCGAAAAAACATTTTGGAATACTATCCTAATTCGTCATTTAGAAATAAAAAAATAGTTTGTTCTATATATAAATTAGATAAGTTATTTTTTGTTTTTTCAAATATATGTGTAACACGTGTACATGAAAATCTATAATTCGTACATTTAATCGATTATGTATATTAGGTCAATATACGTAGCAAATTTATATGTTGAATCTTCAAGAACTATGCGTTTCAGAGAATTTCAGTTCTTTGTATAAAAGTATATTTGAATACGTTCTATGATTAAAGTTATTTAATGTGTTTGACGACCATATGGATTGGCAAATTTCTGTTTTAGATATCGAATTTAATTACTAAATTTCGTGAATTTTTATTATTTGAAAATTGTACTTGAATTGAATGAAATAATTCAGAACTGCCTTAATATTTTTAATTCTAAAAATTTATTTCAAACCTTTAAATTATATCATTTCATCGAATAAAAATGATATTTTATACATATGACCTTAAATCTCTGGTACCATAAAATAAAAATATAAAAAATAAATTCGAAAATTGTTAATTTTATTATGAATTATAATGTAATTAGTGGACCATTTACCGATTAATAGTTTAAAAAGAACGCGATTTTATAAAAGTAATTTTGTAAATCGCTTTCAAGTAATTTTGGCGATAAACGTTCTGATCGTTGTAATGTTTTTCAAACTTCGTTGAATATTTTAATCTCTAATAATAAGAGTAATGAAATTATTATTAGATATTTTGCCTAAATCTCTATTAGAGAGTGTATATATATAATATTGTGCTAGAATTAAAGCTAATAAAGTGATTTTTATCTCATCTGCAGCGTTCTCACTTTCTATGATTTTTGACATTTATCGTTAAAAAAATCAATATATATATTTTACTTTTTGTCATCAAATCTCAAAACCTCTTATTACCTTCTACTACCATCTTTATTATTACCTCGTTTTCATAATATATGTTATCAATGTTTCATGTTTTTATGCGTTTTGACTAAAACATTATTTTTTATGCGATTTGAAACAGTCGGAGTGTGCCTGATTCCTCTATCTATTGATAATAGACGGTTCACAACTTGGCTAATCGTATTTTATAATATATATATATATATATATATATATATATATATATATATACTATATATATATATAATATAATAATATAAAATCTAGAATATATTGCGCTGAGTTTAAAATAGCAGCATTACATCAAAAAAATATGTATGAATTGTTTAAAATTTTATTCGATATTCATCCATTCATCCCACCATCTCTTCGGTGGAAAATAAAATTCGACAACTTCTATATTAAAAATAAATAAAGTAAATTTGGGGACAAAAGTTCTAATCGTTGTAATGTTTTTTCGAACTATGTTGAATATTTAAATCTCATCTTAAGGCTGTTATTAGACATTTTGCCTAAATTTGTATCGGTTAGAGTATGCACACACACACACATACATGAATATATATATATATATATATATATATATATATATATATATATTTAATCTATAGATAGATTAAAGCAAAAAAAATATTTTCACAATTAGTTTTCTGAAATTAGATTTTTTATTTTGCTTTATGTATCACTGTGTGTGCATATATATTCAATGTATGTATGTATATATGTATATATATATATATATGTATATATATATATATATATATATATATAATTTTGATAGTTTTCAGATGTTGAAACATATTTAAAATAATTAGCAGTCCGTTCAAAAGTCGCAGTCGAAATAATCAAGAGTTAAAAAAAACTTTATTAATTATACGTTTTGATCCAAACCTTAAACACTAAAATTGGCTAAAAAAATATTTTTAAAACTACAATAAGAAATGTCAACACATAACTAAAAGTCTTAACCCAAAAAATACAGCAGAAGACATAATGTTTCCTAGCAAAAGTGATGCGTGTCAGTTCAACTGTTCAAAATTGGAAGAACCAATTAATATTTGTATGGTACATCAACCAATTAATATTTGGATCGATACATAATATAGTAATATGATTTTAAAATGATCTGTATCGAAAAACAAATTTATCAATAATCATAGAAGAAATCATATTAAATTGTGGCGGGAATAACTCAATCAGTAGCGCGTTCGGCTCACACGACAGGGATCTTCAGATCGAATCCTGTCATTGACATGAAATTTAAAAAACCATAGTTCATTTGAAATTAAATAAAATTTGATCTGTTGAGTAGAATTTGAATAAAAATTAGAAGTAATAAGAAAAGCAAGATTAGAATTCGAGAAGGTCAGATTTTGAAGAAAATGAAGAATAAAATGTAAATAAAAAAATAAAAACAATTAATAGCTAAAACATGATTATTTACTATAGATTACATTTGATCAGACTTTATTAAAATATGAAAGTAATTTTTTAAATTATTTCAACTGTCGTATACTAATCATACTAATCAAACTATTACAAGCGCACTGTAACTTTTATTATAACACAGAAAACGAACTTACGTAATTATAAAGTAAATAAATTCAGAATATTATACAAAAGTTCTAGAATTCTCAACGATAAATATATCTCATTTACCTATGATATAAATTATAAAGAATTTTCTAAAGTTCGGATTCGCAAAGTTATTCCTTTCTGAACTATTTTGCATAAATCATATCGCATATATATAACAGCGAAGCTTCTATCACGACAACAGAACACAAACCGTAAAAAAACATCTATCGCGTCTTATATACAGTCGTAAAGTTACAAACTTCAGGAAACAATTTCTCGAAAGTTTGGTCATCAAAATTGAAAATTGCTCTTGTGCAAACTTCTATAACTTTCTTACACACAATGGCGCATTATAGATATATAAATTTATACAGAGTCGCACTGACACACATAAAAGTATTCATAGTAGTATTTGTAACTAACACACTAATAAAATATCAACGGCTATCTCTCTTTTGCGCGCAGGTCGTAGGTAATGAATAACACTTATATACTTTAAAATAAATTTAACTGATAAACTTCACGAAGGAGTGAGAGAACTGAATATCCTGCACTGGCACGATGGAACTATTAATAGCCATTTTAGATGTCCCAAATGATATAACTGCCGGGTTATAATGTGCTCTAACGCCGGCGTTGACTTTAATGATGCACCTAAAGTTTACAGAAGTGATTTCAGTTGTGCCGAAAGAACGTCAAACACGAAATTATTGATTTCTTAGCTGAGACGGCGCTCGGTTATTGGTGCGCTCGCTACCATGACATCACGCCGGTGGCTGAATTCATGCCTACGACTTTTATACTACGAATCGCCGATGATCCGATCATTAGCTGCCCATTAACTAATGCTCGGCCACTATTAACAACAAATACGGTGGGCCGGTTAAATTTCTTCGTGAAATTAGCGTTTTTACTAGATCGAAGTCTGAATCATCAGAAATTAAATGTACTGACGAGAATCATTTTCAATTTTTGATTTTCATGAATAATTTCTAATTTTTTTTAACTAAAAAGTACAGTTCTTAAAACCATGATATAAGTTATATTAATCATCCAAAAATCTAAAATGAAAATTTTTGCATATCTTCACGTTTCAGGGATTCTAAACATTTTTGCATATCTTAGAAAAAATAGATGTATGTGTGTATGTGTGGATACAATTTTTTGTCGACGTGTTCGGGACCACCGCTCAACCGATTTGAATGATTCAAAAAGCATTCGATTCCTATTGATAAAGAGACGTGCTGATTAGTTTTTGGCAAAAGTTGGTCCAGCCGTTTTGGGGATACGGAGCAAAGAATGCAAAAATGGAAATTAAGTTTGTGAGAGAACGGAGCATCCGATTTGCTTCAAAAAATGTTCTGCATTTATTGACGTAATGAAGAATTCATTAAGTTTTTGCAAAGACAGGTGCAGCGGTTTCGGAGATCCAGAAAAAAAAACAAATTAGATATTTTGTAATTTGAAATAATTGATATAAACGGCTATCAAAATCTTCTAAGAAATTTCAAAATTTATACAAAAAAAAAAGTTTTAAATTCTTTAAAATACTTCTAGGTTTTATAAAAATATCAGTATTTTCAAAAAGGCAATTTTTTCTATATTCAAACATTTTAAATGTACAAT